GTAAGCTCTCTTCATGGAGTAGGCAGACAGAACAATTCCTCCTCTAGCTGGGGACCAAGGACAAATGATCCAAATCTCAGCCCAAGAGCATAAACAATGGCAGAATGAAGAGAGAAGAATAAGAAGGATGGGACTTCATGGGCTAAAGCTGTAATTAGACAATTAACTCCATTGTGCTAATGGACCAGAACTTATAAAAGTGTGAGACCCCATGACCAGTCATCCATCTTGTGACCATTTTTGGGTTCATCTTGGGTGTAGCCCTGGCTGAGCTCTTGTGCTGCCCAAGGTGGATCCATTGAGGGCTCCTAATAAATACCTACTTTATTCTTTAGCTCTGTCTAGTCTCTGTTCCAGGTCAGCCTTCATAAGGCATCACACTCCATGGCTGAGCATTAAGGAAAATGATCTTGGTCACTCCAAAGTAAACTTCAAGTTCTGTGGATAATTCATTCCAAGGACTGCTTCCAAAAGGCAACACAAGACAGACGGCTGGAGGCTTGGGTTTCTCTGCCCTGCAGAGTTCTTCAACAGCAGGCTTTTTATTTTCAAACACTTTCCCTTGCCTGGATATCATATCCCAGAGTTTGTAATGCGTTCCTTCAGTTTCATGTTATAAAAACACCACCTGGTGGGTTGCAGCAGAGCCCTCATATTTATTTCGGACACTTTGGACTAAAACAAACAAACAAAATGATAACTGGATCCCTGAGCCTGGGAGATCACTGTGTGTGGCTTAAAAGACTTGCAAGGCATTGTACCATCTAGAGGAGGTTTGTTTAGCAGTTTCTTCCAGGTATTGCTGTGCCTGAGCACAGCAGGCATGAGCCACTCAACATTACCTTGCCTGAAGGATCTCCTTCTGGGACACATATTTAACTATGTAAATGTAGCTGCAGTGACATTTTCTGTGCTTTAACAGGAAACACTTTCATGAAGTACTGGCTTCTCATAAATGTTTGCACACATCAGATATTGGCTACTTTCATGGCAATATGCAGCCCTTGATCCTACCCTTCAACACCAGGTGCTGAAACCAAAATTGATTAAAGGCAAGGGTTTAGGCATAAAAGTGAAAATATACTACTACAGGTGAAAGAATATGAACTTGATCAATATTTCACCTTTTTTTATTATTTATTATTTATTTTCCTACCTATTTCTAAAATGTAGTCTATTTGCCACAGCTACATGATTTAATATTTAGTTTTCCAACAAAGATATAAAGATTGATGGTAGGGGATATATTGGGAAACACTCCCTGGTCACTCAGTGTTGAACCTGTGATGTAACTAACTGTAGGGTTTGTCTGTTCAAATTCAGACCAAATATGAGTATTCCACCATCTTCTTCTGCATTTACTTATTTCTCTGTGTTCACTGTAATGCAAGCTGCTGTAACTAACTGATTCAGTTGTCTGCCTTGAAGGGTGAAAAGTCACTGGAGATGCTCTAAGATGTCCAAGACATCCCTAAAGAACTTTATAAGTATCAGGCTACTTTTGGGCAAGCAGCTGTATGCCAAATGGAATACCTCTCTTTCCTATACCTAAAATGCCTGTAGGTAGCTGTTTAACCAAATGAACCCAAGGTGTAAATGCAAACTCTACAGATACCAAGAACTCAGTGGAATTTTTTGCCCCGTATAAATCTTACAATCTTCTATAGTTCATCACTTCAGCATCAACATTATGTTACTTTAGGCTGCATTTGGGGTGGTGCTTACACTTATTTAACATTTCTGATACAAACTGAACTGTTTAAACAACACAGCAAACAGATTGAATTTTGCTCTGCCAAACATTGAACTTGTGTTCCGATGTTGTAATATTAATCACAACATTTGTGGAAATTCTTTTGCTGATTATTTTTTCTAAACCAGAGCAGGGCAATATTTTAAATTGCAGCTATTTACACAGTTTCAGAGCTGATGCTGGGGACGCAACTGTGATACTTGTCAGCTTTGTTTTATGTAGGCTTATGCAAACATGGTATTTGGATTTTGATTCCCAAGCTATTTATCTTCTCCTCTGCTGAAATTATAAATTCAGAAAAAAATATAAATTCAGAAATTATAAAATCAGAAAAAAAAAAATCCCCCTGAATCTCAGATGAGACTTCTGAATTTCACCATGTTTCCAGTGAAAATATTAGTTCTAGTAAGATTTTATTACTAAACTAGGCATTTATCAGAGTTAATTTGAGATACTTGAGAAACTTAAATGCCTTTTCTGTAACATAATTCCAGCTTCAGACATGTGAGGAGATTAAAACCAAACAAGTTTGCTTAATTTCTGGTCTGTTCTGCTAAAAATGATTGGATATCTCTCATTGCAAGTATGCTGTGAACCATGAAAATTAAATTCATTTACAGGGAAGGATCACTTCTTTTACAAATTATGATATTTGAAAGGTGGCATATATGTTTAAATCCTGATTCATAATGGACAACAGAACCTACTAATTTAAATAAAAGAGATAGCCTAGGTTTAGGAATTAAATCTATAGTTTTACTTATTAGAGCTAAAAAAACCCCAGCAACATAGCACAGCTCTGTTCAAATAAGCTATTTTAAAGGAGTGTTTTTCTTTTCAGTGATTTTTTTCACCAGATGGTATCTATACTTTTTTTTTTTTGGACATCTTATTTCAATAAAGTCAGTGTGGCATAGACTTATGGGGCTGAATAGGTGACAGGTTTGCTGTATGATTGCACTACTGTTCTAACAGTGTATTAATTTAAGATCAGAGATTATACATAATGATTTATGGCATATTGATGGATCAAAGGAAAACATATAGATAGGTTTGAACCTTTTTTTGTAACACTGCTTTCATGGGAACATCCAAAGTCTGCAGTTTTCATTTGAGGCTGGAAAGAAAAAAATAAATTCCCATCAAAAGAAATCTCTATTTTTGAAATACTGTAAATTAAATTTTCACTAGAAATTACACCTGACTGTCATTGATTATTATCTAGTCACATTGTCTTCAGATTCAAAACATATTCAGTGGAAGCTGGTTATTTCTTCAACCGCAAGATCGAAGAATATTTTTCATCTTTATATGATTTAGCTTTTATAATTTATGTCCTGCATAAGGCCCAATCTTTCATTACTCTTATAGTGTATCTGTTAATCTTGGAAAAATCTACTTTGTTCCACCTATAGCACTTGCTGAACTGCTTTGCTGCATAGGTGAGAGTTGAATTTTTCACTTACTGAAATTGGTCTTTTTAAATATGAGAAGACCTCAGTAAAACTCTGAAAAATTATGAAAACTTTTTTCTTTTTTTCTACTTAAAAACCATCCCTGAAGAAAACCCCTTGATATACCTTGATAGTGATGATCCACCCAAAATACTTGCAGTGAAGCATTGGTTGACTGATGTTTTTCTACACTGGTTACTAAAAGCACATGATGAGGAAAAGTCGTATTCCCTCCTTCTCTACATCTGTTCTGTCACTCTTCCTTCTTGTGTGTCCACTTGCTTTGTACTCCTACAGCTAATTTTCACAAATTCCAAGCAAGAGAATGGGATTGATAAATCCACACAAAATATCAGGGTATACTGCTTAGTACAGCAGCAAAGAATATTAATTCATTCTAGCAGGTTTTTTTCAGAAAGCATCCAGCAGGTTTTTTCAGACAGCATGTTTGACTTTAGCTGACTCTTCCCTTAACGCTTTTTTTCAAGGCTGCAGGAAGGATATATGAGTACATAGAGCAGAAGTTCACAAAAAGCAGCTTTCAAGCTGCTTTTAGAGAAAAGAATACTTCTAATGCAAGCACAAAAAAAATTTGTTTTTTTTAAGAATGACTATCCTCTGCAGCTTCTGCCAAACCAGCTTAACAAAGATAACATGATGACTGAAATATTTATACTTTTTTATAGTTACTTTGAGTAATAAAAAAGAAAAATTCACAAGTTTATTCATCTTTCCTAATGATACAGAAAGGAAAGAAGCACCTAAACAGTGAATACTGATGCAGAAACTCAGACTGTAAAATCAATTTATCAGCTCAGTAGAGCTGAGATTCTTTCTAATGCTGCTGTTCCAGCAGTAGAGTTTACCTTCTGAATTATATATGTATTGACCTAATTACATAAATATTGACTTTGCTTTATTTGAAGCTTTTTTCAGTCTCGGTGTAATTACAATGTCAATATTTGTTGTATGTAATAACACTGAATTTAGGCTTGTTAATTTTGATTGATAGTAGCATGCCACAAGTTATTATATGGGATAAGGCAGTTAGTCTACAAGCATGCATAGCAGATACAAGCAGCTGACAATGCTACCAAATTTCAGTGTGTCTCTAAGACCTTCTGTTTCCCATGTTTAATCAGGCAGAGAAATATTACGGGTGATTACATCCTTGTTCCATAAGAGTACTGTTTTGAGGTGGAGAAATGTTTACCCTGGAAAAAAAAAAGTACAAATATTCAGCTGGAAACTCAGTAAAAGGGTTCCTGTTTAAAGTTAGCTTTAGAATTTTCTTTACAATTTTGTAAAGTGTATTTAAATTGTGCCAAAATGGAGGTTTATATAGCAACAACTATATTTTTCTGCATAACTTCCATGAGTTATACTTTATTTTGCAATAATATTGAGACCCAGACACAAGAAATTTCACATTAAATTATTTTCTTTTTCTTCAAATCCAAGAAAGATGTGAGCAGTGGACTTTCAGGTACTACTGGGACTTGCAAAACTGTTCACTCCAGTCTGTAAATGTTTGTTGAGATGTATTTCTACAAGAACAACTTTGTTCAGAGTTGGCAGAGCTCAGAAATGCTTTCAACGATGAATAGCCCTATAGTATAGTGCTTATTTCTAGATGCAATTATAAAGCATTTGAATTTGGCAGTAACATAAGAATTAGAAACCAAACTGAGACAGTCTGTGCGCTGAGGATATTTAAATTTTTTCTTGCTATAATATGTTGCCAATAGTGAGAAGGCATGCATCATACTGAATTTTCTTATTTGTCTCAGCAGGGATGCCAGACAAGACGAACCTCAGTGACGTAAAGCAAATCCATCAAACCAACGATGGCAACACTTTAGACACAACTGGAGCAGGATGTACAGCAATGGCCGATTATGTGACATTTATGCTGATTAGTTTGGTAATACTGCTTCTCACTCTTTGGTAACTGCTTATTTCTGGCTTGATATATGTATCTCATTGTCATCTATTTATCCCTACTCACAAGCCTGGAATAAGGGATCTGGTGAATATAGCAATATTTATGATATCTTGTATAAGATCAGCCAGTGATCTTAGCCCTGAATATTAACAAAGAGTTTTGTGTAATATTTTTTCTGTGTTTTTTTTTTAAACACCTGTATAGTCATAAAAAGTCATGTTTTCTTTTTTAATATTTTATGTTGAAAATAAGTTGTCTATGATAATCTTTCTCTTAAAAGCAATCTGTAAAAGAAGAATATTACCAAGTTTGAAATGGTCTCTGGAGATCATCTAGACCAACCCTGTGCTCATAGTAGACTCACTTCTTGCAAGTTTCCTAAGACCAAGTACAGTTGACATTGGAATGTCTCCAAGGAGGAAGACTTTACTGATTCCCTGGGCTAACTGTACCAGTGCTTCAACACTCCTAGCAGATATTTTTTAGCTACTGCATTTCAGTTTGTGCCTCTTGCCCATTTTGCCCACTGAGCCCTGCCACGGCACCAAGGACAAGAGTTTGGTTCCATCTTCTTTTCTCCCTTTATCAGGTATTTATACATTTTCAAAAGATCCCTCTCTGCATCTTTTCCAGGCCAAACAGACCCAGCTATCTCATCCACTCCTTGCACAAGTTTTGTTCCCATACCTTAAAAATTTTCATGCCCTTTGCAGGAATCCATCCACTGTGTCCATGTCTCTCTTGTCATTGTCCCTGAGAGATCAGACCCTAACGTAGCACTGTAGATGTGTCCCACTAGTGGAGAACAGAGGGGAAGGATCGATCACCTTCTTTGACCTGCTGATATTTTTCCTGATTCAGCCCAGAAGGTAGTTGGCTCTCTTTGCTGCAAGGGCACAGTGTGAGCTCTTTTTCAGCTTGGAATCCCTTAGGGCCACAAAGTTCTTCTCTGCAAAACTGCTTTTCAACCTGCAGGCACCAGCCTGTACAGGTGCATGGTGTTATTCCTTGCCAGGAGGGGGATTTGGCATCTCTCTTTCTTGAACTTTCTGAGATTCCTATCAAGCCAATTCTTCCATCTGTCTGGGTCCCTCTGAATTCAGAATTTTTTCCATAGTTCAGAAAAACCTATATGTTAGATACTATATATGTATATGACAGCTGATTTTACCTAGGGGTAACAGCAAGGTTAAGATTCAGTGTTGGGTTAAGGTATCTTAGCATCTATGTCAACATACAGATATTTAAATATGTGCTTTTCAAGCTGTAACTGTAGTCCTTGGATTCAATTGCTAAAATACCAATGAGTGCCTGTTGTGCTGCCCAAAAAACCCCACCTGGTGTCCACTGCTGTTCTGAACGGCCTCAGGTCTTTCTCTGTGGTCTCAGGGCAAGAGACCACAGCCCTTTGTCAACACAGTCAGTGAAGCCCAGTCCATTTTTCAGCTCATACAAAGACAGACACCCGGAAAAGCAACTCAGTTGCCCAAAAAGAAATGACTGATGCCACTTAAGATTTCTTGGAGCATCTGAGGACATCCTCAGGGGACTGGCATATTTGATGCAGGAGTTCTGAGATGTTCCAGAGCCTTCTTTAACTGGGAGCCATGGGGAGTGGCAGCTGGCAGCTAGGTGAGACATCCTTTACTCAGACATTCACATGTGGGCCCAAGAATCATACACCAAACCACCGCCAATATTACTGGTAGTTAAGATTCCTGGTTGGAGTGGTGACACATGAATGCAAACTTGAATCACAACAATCCCAGCTCAAGTTCTTATGCTTCGTAAGAAGAGGCAAGCAAAAGTGTGTTGCAGTACTAATGGTACATTATGTATTTCTGTCATAAAATTTGATTGTTCTGCCATGACTAATTCTTGTTTCATTTTAACTAAGAAATATTTAAAAATATTTCATAGTTATTTCTCCTGCAGAGTATTTTGCAAGAGGGAAAAAAACCACCTGTTCATATTGTATGTATTCATATGATAACGAGAACTCTTTCTAGACAAAAAATGTTACTCTCATATGAGACTAATATAAAGAAACATACATAAATATTTTTATTCCCAAATGTATATGTTAGTCATTAACACACACAGTAAAACATACAGTATAAAGAAGTAAACTGTTATAAAAGGTAGAAAAGCAAGTGAACATTTCTATGAACAATTCCATTCCCAAATAAATATCATTATTAGGCATGTGTGCCAGTGTGTACATTTTGTTGATCTCTTTTTTCCTTTGCAGATTTTGCAAATCAATCTTTCAAATTCACTTGTCTTGTTTACTTGAAATTATGACACTGGTAATTCAGGGAAAGAAAATGAGAATTCATTCTTTTCCTTTGTAATGTCGATTCACACTAGTAATCAATCCAGTTCAGCAACTTTTTTTTGAACAGTGGCCAGTATCAGTCACTTCAGTGAAAATAGAATAAGCCTTTGAAAAGCAGACACAGAAATGCAGAAAAGAAATCCACAATTACTCATTACTCAGAATTTTATTTATGTTCTGAAGCACTTTGTTTCCATTCCTAAGTTTTGTGTGTTGTTCAAGACCTTACAAAGACAGATGGTCCAGGAATAGTAATTTTTTGTATAGAATCTAGGAAACACAAGCCTCTTTTTCAAATACTGATAGTCATAATTCCTAAGACCTCCTCAGGTATATGTGAATTACTAGTCTGCAATACGCCTTTCTTTTGGTTTTCTTGGCCTATTCCCATTACCTTCAACCCTGTACCTGCACAGAATAACTTCAAAGATTCCTTTTGGAGTGGAAAATTATGTTTCTCCTACCCAGACACAAATGAACAAACTAGTAGCAATATGAATAACAGTGTCAGGTCTGGAGATTTCTCACTCACTGCTCTGCCACGAGACCTCATTCACCCTCCTGTTCCATCCATCTCTAGGCATCACTGCACACTCCACATCACTGCTCAGAGTCATACATCTGCCGGGCTGCATCAAGATTTTTTCATTAAATCTACCATGCTTCGAAGAAATATTCTAGTTTCTTAAAGAACTATTGTATAATCACCAAAACAAGTCAGAGCAAGGAGAAGGGAGGCAAGGCTCTTAGACAATCTGTCCCAAGGCCACATTGCAGTGGAGGTACCATTGCATGAGAATATGGAAACCTGCAGAATTTTGTATAACTCCACATTTGGAAGGCAGGGGGGGAAAAAAACCCCAAAATTGTCCAATGTTGCTGTGCTATGCTAAAACAATGGAAAGAGGAATAGCACCGAACAGAAACATGAAGAATGCTTTAGAGAAGCCAAGATGAGAAATAGTAAAAAAAAAATGTTAAGCTGGAGATTGTGGTAATGGAGTATAAAACCACTTCCATCCACATAAAATGATGGACTGATCACAGTATGTATGTGAGTCAATCTGGGTCAATTGCCTGGGCATGCAGAAGCTTTTCCCAGCATGAGGTCACACAGGCTGCACAGGGCCGCCTCTGAGCTCCTCAAATGACCTCAGAAATGACATGTACCTCTTGTTTCCTCTGTTTCCTTTCATTTGTTTGTATTGGGACATTTTTAATAGTCAGAATTTTCTCTGTATTTCCCAGAACAGATAAGCTTTTGGCTTTATTTTGCCTTCTTTTAAATAATCTTTTCATGTATTATAACTGTTATGGTCTAAAACCAGAATACTTTACTCAAAGTGCTATTTCTCAGACAGACACTCACTCAAAGACTGATCATACTAAAATTGCAATATTAGAGTTGTGAACCTGGCCTTGGTACATTTTTTTTATTTAAATAGCAACCATAAAACAAGAGAGCCTCATAAGAAATAATTTCTTGGAGAACAGTCTGGTTACTTACAATAAAATTCCAGGAAAGGAATAATTCTAAAAAAATACAATACCTCAGAAATCCATAATATTTTTATTTGATGAAATTAAGATATTCCTCTTCTACCCTGAGATTAAGAGAGGTCCTACATGTAGCAGACCCATTTTTTAGGGTAGCCTGCTGCCTCCCCGGGTACAGCCCTCAGATCATTGTCTGTTACTGGATTTCCAGGAAGCCCAAGGTCAATCAAAAAGACTGAGTTGCCATATTGTGCTTGGAAAAGTGCAAGGGAGCTGGTGGCAGGTCTGGAGTGTCTGAGGGAGCTGGGGTTTTTTAGTCTCGAGGAAAGGAGGCTCAGAGGAGACCTTATCACACTACAAATACCAGAGAAGAGGTTGTGCAAAGGTGGGGTCGGCCTCTCCTCCCAGGAAACCAGCGACAGAATGAGGGGACACAGCCTCAAGCTGTGCCAAGAGAGGTTTAGATTGTGTATCAGGAGAAATTTCTTCATAGAAAGGGTTGCTACACATGGGAATGGACTGCCCACTGAGGTGGTGGAATCACTATCCTGAGAGATATTTAAAAGACATGTAGATGTGACACTTTGGGACATGGTTTAGTGACAGACTTGGCAGTGCTGGGTTAACTCGAGGATCTCAAGGTTCTTTTCCAGGCTAAATGATTCTATAATTCTTGTCTTCCCATTTCTATTTTCTGAAGATGTACCTGTGTTTTTAAATGTACTTGTATCTCCTGGGGAAAAGGTACTGACTGGACTACTTATTCTCATAACTAATGTCCTAGCACTTTAAATAAACATTTCAAGGTGAAAACTTTCCTGTGTGTAGCTGGTGAAAGAGAAAAAGAAGCACCTGTTTCCTTAGAAAGCAAATATCCATGGTTCTTTTCATGAATAATAAAAGATGATGCATAATTACAGCTATGTAAAAGGTTATCTTTTTATTTCTTTCTGTAGATAGATAGACATATAACTTCTTTACTACTCTGTACCTGTATATTTATATTCATATTATTAAAATAATGATATTGTTGAGATTATAACAGGGTTTATATTAAGCTATTGAAGATTTCAGATTAACCTTATTATTTCCATATCATCTTCTCAGGATAATGAATTAAAATATGTATTTGAAGCCATATCTATTTATTTTCTTTTATATTCAGTTCTTCTCTGAAATAATTGTGTAAGCATTAATCTTATTTAGAAAATGGTGTGCTTTTCTATGTGCTCTGGGTCACAACTGATTATAATAGGAATTAAAATAAAAGTTATTTTTAATTATGTTACATTAAAAAAGCTAGTGACTCTAGAAAAATCCAGATTTTCTTCTTGAAATTCTCAGCAAAATTAATTAAGTTTTAACTCTTAATTCTTTCTTCCTGGTCATACATGAACAAATTTTGGGAGAAAATATTTGCCTTTCAGGCAGTTAAAAACTTTGTCTTCAATTTATTTTACTACTTTTTAATGTGAAATGCTGCAGACAGTAAGCAGGTAGCCCATGAGGCTCTTTTCCAGTTCACATTGAGGAAGAAGCTCATGCTGAGCTTCTGTGGCTGGGAGGACTCGGTCGATGCCATCTCATCGCCCCTCACAGCACAGAGGGCTGTGCTAGGATCACCTGCTGTGCATGCCTAATTTAGGTGTCACAGCCAAGTCTCTCCAGGTTTGTCCGGCAGTCCAAATCAATTGTTTAGTCTCCTGAATGTAAGTCACACGGAGGTCTTTCTCTGTAGCATTTTCTGATTTTCCTGCTCCTCTCAATGTCACTCTCTTTCCCATTTGAGTGGTACAAGAGTTTACAGGATCACGCAGTGAAACTGGCCGGGGTATTTCTGACTCAAAGGATCTCCTTGATCCAGCTCACCTTGCATCTTCAAAGACAATGCTGCTGGTACAATGGATGGTGTGGCCATAGTGCTCCTGGAATTTTAGCCACATATTTATAGCAGGTGGACACATTAGGAACAAAAAACCCCACTTAAATAACATTTAAAAATACTGCAAAGTTGTTTTTATAACTGTGTTATGTGTGAGGATTCATAATTCAGTTTCTAAAGCAGGATAGGGCCATTAAAAAATCATAGTAAAGTCTGATTTTACTCATGCCACACTTGAAAGTGTATAACAGATCTCTTTTGCTCATGGGCAAAAA